AGAGAGAGAGAGAGAGAGAGAGAGAGAGAGAGAGAGACTGCAATATAAATGAGCAAAGAAAATGTGGAAAGAGAAAAGTTGTGCTTTAATTATGAGTATAATTAATAATAATAATAAAAAGATGATTTTAGTGGTGATACAGACCTGAATTGCAGTATCCGAGCCAAAAAGCGACGGAGAAATAACCGGAAGGAATGGCATCTTTGCACTGTTGACAGAGAGCTGCTAAGAGGTAGAGCACGAAGAAAGGCAGCCAAGCGGTGATAAACGCGGCCATAATTAGGCCCAGTATTAGTGTAGCCCTTCTCTCCCTGGCCTTCGCTATCTTGCGTTTGTGGCGCTCGGCGTCCGAAGTGGTGGACCGCATGCCCACCACCGGAGGGTTTCGGTACTGAACACCTTTGGCGCCCTTTCCGGCGCTCTTCTTGGGCTTGACGTTGTCGTCGCTGTTCTCGATGTCGTTATCCAAACAGAGGTCGGAGTCGTCGTAATCGGCAATACTGAGTGTCGAGCCATAAGTGGTCGACTTTAACAGTTTGGGTGCACTTAAAAATGATTTCGATTCGTGTGTAATAGTGTCCCGACTCAGCGGCGACTCAATGGCGTCCGAGTCCTCGTCGGCCGATATGAAACGGGTTTCCGTCGTTTTGACGGCCGAACCGTTTTGTTTGGTCTGCGGTATCGACGCCTTCATCGGCGGTGCATTACATTCAGGCAATATTATTGTCAATTTGGGTGGCGTTCGCTTCGGGTGTATACCCGGCGAACACTTTGTCTGTTTTAAGCACTTATACTCCACTTCCAACTCGTTGTTCACCACAGCGTCGACGGGCGTCGGCATCGGCTCGTAGTTATTAGAGATGATTGAGATGTCTTTCGTGGGCGACGAGTGGTCTTCGGTGATGGCTTCGACCACTATCTGTGGCGGCGAGACAGCGGTTGGTGTGCCCATAGAGCCCACTGTTGGCGTGCGGTGTACTCCGGCTCCCATCGGCGGCTGAGACCCTGTATATGAAAAGATAGGAACCGGTGAAGATTCTGGTGCATATGGTTTATAACCAGCAACTCCATCATCTCCACCTTCATTATTTTGATCGGTTAGATCGGGTGGACTGGGATTGCTTAGACTCGTACAGGTAGTGGTTGTCGTCGATTTCTCCTTCGCCGGATCGGCGGTCACTTCCTGTTGGATCTGAAGGCGTTTCTGTTGGATATGGCGTCGGGCGCGGCTCCGGGCGGCGTGAAAGATGCGCGCGTAGACAAACACCATCATAAAGGCCGGGAAATAAAACGACCCGATCGATGAATATCTGGGAATCAACAACAAAAAAACAAACATACATGTGATAATCAGCTCGTATTACACTTGTCTCCACTAATCAATGTGTTTATAAGCGATATATAGACGTCGATTAGTGTTAACCAAGAGCTAATAGTTAACTCACAAGACATAACCAACATCTTCGCTGACATTGCACTGCGGGAACTCATTGGAGACCAGAATTTCAGGCTTCTTCCAGCCGACCAGCGGTGGCAATGAGACCAACGCCGACATTATCCATACAAACGCTATCATAAGTGCCGCGCGAGAAGGCGTCCGCTTTTTTAAATATTTGACGGCTTGTGTTATAGACCAATATCTGTCTAAACTTATCATAAATAAGTTATTGATAGAAGCCGTGCACAGGAGTACGTCCAATGCCAACCATATATCTGCCCAAAAACAAACCAAACAACAAAAAACAAAACGTCAGTATTGGTTATGTAGTAATACATCAAAAGCATAAAAATTAATGGCATTAGCCCTGGACTGCAACACTTACCGCACCAAACCTTGCCGAACATCCAATAGCCCATCAGCTCTCTGGCCAACGAGAAGGGCATAATAACCAGACCTAATAGAAAGTCCGAGACGGCCAGCGACGCGATGAACCAGTTTTGCACCGGTTTTAATGACTTCTCGGTGGCTATTGCTATGCAGACCAACATATTTCCGACGACTATTAAAATCATGATACATGTGATGAAAAAGGCGAGCGCGACGATCGACAGCTGAGAGTAACCGCTCGGATACGGTATACTATACCAGTTCTGCCACCAAACTCTGGTCTCGTCGTCGCTGCCGTTGAATGTGGTGGTGATGTCGATGAGTGTGGTGTGCGACGACCATGGTGGTGGTGGCAACGTGGTGTTTGTCCCGTTACCCCACATATTGATCACATATTCGCTATCGTTGGTCAAACCACTCACATCCCAACTCCTGTTCCCATTAAATAATGGTATTTCGTATGATATTTGTCTGTAAACTAGTGTTGCGTTCACTAACCAGTCATTCAATGGTCGGCTTGTATTGAATGCGTTTTGCATGGCGTTCAAGAAGAGCGGATCCATTTGTGCGGATTGTGCTGTTTTTGTGCTCTCAAATGCTGCTGAAAGAGGTGTTCACCACTTATTCTTCTTCTTCCACTATTGTTGCGATGTCTTCAGTATTGTCTTCAGTATTGCGATTCTGTACACAAATGTAATGAAATGAGCAAAGAATTAGTTACACAATGATTGAAGAGCACCGGCACTCCATCCTCGCCAACAAATATCATACAAGTATTGCTTATAATTCAATGTATAATAAATACAAAGCGAAACAGTATTTGTATAAAAACAACAAATATTAGATTCTGTTTGCAATAGAATTAGTGCTCGGATTGTATTTAATTGCTTTCAATAGAAAATATTTTGCAAAACTATTGCAAATCTTAATTCATTTTTTTCAATTACTTTCTCTATCTTTTTTGTGATACGATAAAATTCTTGTTTTAATATACCTTTATATTTACTTATTTAGTAATAACTTGTTTATTACAATACGTATAAAAATAATCGATGCGTTTTTGTTTACCAACTAATCATAAATTTCTATAAAACACATCTATAATAAACTTAATTGTTTGTAAACTAATTTATGCACAGATTTTTCGGGCCACCGGCTGGTCGTTATGCAATATATATAATAAAAATTTATTAACAATAAACCGGATATGTTTTCAATATAAAAACAATGAATTCCTGGCACTGAATGAATGAAATGAATAATAAATGGTTTTCTAAGGAAATTATTTATTAAAATAAGGATTTAGACAAAAGTAATTTCTTGTGACCAAAAGACATGTCATACAAGCAACAGATTTTAAAGATAATGTGTTTTTTTGGTCTAACATTTGTTGAGACGATAAAAAAAATGAGAGAGGGAGGGAGAGAGAGAGCGAGAGAGAGAGGGAGAGAGAGAGAGAGAGAGAGAGAGAGAGAGAAGACTACATTATTTTATATATATAGTGTATAATGCATATACAGTACAGTATACAATGCAGTGATATTACGTTAGCAATTCCTTTCTCTTCCTATAACTCCCTACTCTTCGGATATTTAACTTATATATCAACTCTTCGCTTTCTTATCTTTTATTTTTGTTTGCTCACTACTCCTTCAGATTGTAATATTCAAACGACATAACTATGGCCTGGAATACGGATATACTGTAAAAGTATTATATGAAGTCCAGAGTGTAAATGAAGGACTTTTCAATGACAACAAAAAGTACTGCAGAAGTAGTATGTGTTTTGAAGTTTAGTTGTTTTATTGTTGAAATTTTCACTTTTGATCAAATTTCATCCAATTATTTATCACTAAAACTAAGAAATTTCGATCATTGAGTTTCGTCTTTATTTTATTAACACATTCTCTCTCTCTCTCTTCTCAGCGCAAAATATAATCGGATTGTGTTTTCAAACTATTTTGAAATATTTTGGGCAAAATATTTGAATACTTTATTCCATTATTTAATAAAGAATATAAAACTTATAATGTTAGACTTCCTCATCACTCGTTTGTTTTTATTTTCTATTCTTTCGCTTCTCAACTATATATTCAATTTATAGGCTTCTCATCCCTCAATATCCTTCTCTTTCCTTAACGATTGCATTATATACTGTACAGTATATGCATTATACACTATATATATCAAATAATTTAGTCTTCTCTCTCTCTCTCTCTCTCTCTCTCTCTAATTGCTAAACCTTTGGCAATGAATTTGAATGTTATCGTTGTTTTTACATTTAATTTAATCATTGATTACTTTTGAGAATAAAATAAAATAAAAAATGACCAAAACATAGAGAATGTCAGTTATATTAAGTAAAAATGATCGCTCGGTCTTAAACTACTGGAATTCGTGAAACAATCAGTTATAATAAACGAAAAAAGTGATAATTTATCGTTTGGTGTGTTTTTATAAAAATCCTTTCAATTTCACACTTTTTAAAAGACTTAAATCAATGCATATTTGATAAATGATAGGTCTGTTCACTATATTAAGACGTCTATTCACTGTATAACGAGTGAAAGTAAGACTTGAATTATAGATAAATATTGAGGATAAAAGTGTGGAAACAATTTTTTTATTATTAAGCAACTCTTATTTATAACTGTGTTTTTGATGTGAAATTTTAACTGAAAAAGACTACATATTCTGTTTGTGACACATCTATACAGTATATACAGCACACGTGATAATGAAACCGACATTTTTCTAACTCAATCTTAATTATATTACAAATGACTAAAACATATATTAATTAGAAAATAATTTCCCAATCATTTGCCGACAAATTTTAATTGTTATACAAATGATATGTAAATATAAGTATTGTTTTGAATGATAATATCTAAAGGCTTACCCTTTGCTACTATTGATCCATCGCTCAAATATTGTTCGCATTTTAAATGTAT